ATCTTCAAGGGTAGGAGCAACCACCACTTGTGGACAACGGATTCGGATTTGGATTCAAAAAATGAACTACGAGCCAAAATAAAAAATAAATAAGAGACTTGCATGCCAAGCTATAGGGCTAGAAAGTGAAACTGAATAATTATTACCCATGAATCCCAACGTTATTATGATACATCAATATGTAAGAAGTTGGTCAGTAGATAAATCCAATAGTGAGTGACGAGTAGAGAATTTGTCTAGTGTTTTTCAAAATCATGAATGTAAATGCGAAATAATTACAATTCGGGTAATTCACACTCCCTTTGATTTGCAATAAAAAATATGATAAGAATATATAATTGTTCTTTGACTTCTGAATTGACCCATTAGTTAAAAAAATTGCCCCTTCGAGTTTACAAACTTAAACAACAACATCTCCAACCAAGAGTATGTAAACTTTTGAATTGACCCATTCAAATCATTAAAGTACAGTATTAACTTTTATAAGTCCTTTTATTTTACCAAAATAACTTATAATAAAAAAATAAAAATAAAAATAAAAACCCCAAACTCTACCACTGTGGCCACCAATGCCATATACATACAGATAAGGGCGGAGCAAGAAATTTTTTAATTGGGGGACCAAACCAGTAATGCAAACATAAAATTTGAAAATAATATAAAATCATTGTAAGAATTATTATTAGTATTTGTGCATGTTTAACGCCCTCGCTCAAATAGATAGATTAGTTATATTATCTAATACTTAAACAAAATTTTAATACAAAACCCTGACTTTCCATCTCAAAAAGTAAGAAATATGGTTTTTAAATATTTTTTTATGATTCCGTAGTAATATATTAAATATTAAAAGACCATTTTTAATATTCAAATATTAAATATCACATTCAAGTAGTCACACACAAGTTAAATTTTTTTATTTTTAGCGTTTATTGAAACATTACTTTCACAACATGCCACATTTTTCTTCCACAAAAACAAAGAAAAAAAAAATTTTATATATATATATATATATATATATGTCACAATAAAATCATATTTGTTTTTTTAATTCTTGAAGGTCATTTTGATCAATTAGTAGGAGGTTATAAAGGTAATTTAATGATTCACAAGTATCAATTAAAAAGTCAAAGGGTAAGTACGTACTTTTATTATGATTTGGTGTCTTTGCTCATTTTACCAAACCTAAGAGTATTTTTGTCAAAAAAAATATTTAAGTTATATTTAGATGGTTGTCTTTAACTCAAACCTAAAGGAGTGATCTAAGTCACATAATGCGAGAGTGCAAAAGCGGCAAAATATAAAATTAGTTGAGAGCAGGAGCGTCTTGAGAACGCCGGTATACTATATACTATATATTTATATAATTATTTTACTAGAAATATAAGTATATTAAGGGCTGCAAATTAAGCCCTTGCAAATTTATGCCCTTTTTTGTTCCTGAACTTGGTCATTTCTGGGTTCTTCAGAAATCGATCCATTTTGGAGAAAAAGAACCGACTTTGATTTTCTGGGTTTGCCCAAATTTGGTTTTTTGGAGGTTGGTTTTGGTTTTTCTTCATCAAGAAAGCAGTTTTTCTTGAACTGGGCAGGCTTTCAAGCCCTATTTCACAATATCAATTTTTTCCATCCTAATTCATCCAAATCAAGCCCTGATTTGCAACCATATCCAACTGATCAGTACTTGAATTTCTTCATCACTCCACACTTTTTTGTCAAGAAGAAACCCTACTACTTTTTTGTCGGAAGAAACCCCTAACACTGTAACTCTCTCACACCGCACAACTTTAAAATACACTCGCTCACTGCTATGCTCTCTTACTAATACACTCTTGATGTTAAAATCTTGTTAAGTTGAATTTTAATAACCCATTTCGGTATATTATATATTTTATATTTATATAATTATTTTATTTGAAATATAAGTATATTAAGGGCTGCAAATTAAGCCCATGCTACTTATAATATTATTGGCCCAATTAATAATAAAATGTTTAGAAGTTCATCTTATTAACTAAAGAGCCCAATAGCCCAAGTCATAGTTTAATCACAACCATTGGATTAATTTCCCACTTAAGAGCTATAGAAAACCCTAAAATGCCACGCCTCCACCCTTTTCAACCGTCTGAAGCCACCCCAAATGGCCAAGGCGCCTCATCTGAGAACATCCCGCTGCTAACTCCTTTCCTTCGCGGCAACCAATTTGAAACAAAATCCCTAAACTCCATCTTCAATAACAGGATCCACAACCGCTGCAACTCCCTTTTTAAGGCTATCACTCTGCAATGGAAACACTAAACTCCATATGCGAAGAGAATGCTATCTTGCTCTCTTTCTGATATGATAACTATAGATCGATGGTCATCTCTATGAAGAAAAAGGTATGCGAATTCTGTGATTTTTGTATGGATTCGCGAATTTTGAAAATGAGTTCGCGAATTCTCAAAACCGAGTTCGCGAATTTATGCCGTTTTCGCTCCCAATTCGCAAATACCCGTAGGGAGCTCTGATCCGTCACCTAGTTGAACGAATCCTGTGATTTACCCTTACAATTAACATATGTCAATAATTAAAAAATGCAATGTCCATGGGTAAGGATGTCAATTTTTACCGCCCCGTCCCGCTCCATTAATAAAGGATATAGGAACACTTGTTATACCGTTGGGGCAGATATGGATACAAATTCTGTACCCGTCGAGGGTCACGGGACGGGTAAGAATTTAATGTACATATCTTATGGGCCCCGCCCCGCCCTCATATAATTATATATATATATATATAAGTTATTTTAGCGGCTTACCCAATTATCAATCTCTTACAATCCTAATTTGGGATGTAAACTTGGTATTAAATTTGCTTTTGTTTTGGTTATGATGGAAGTTGGAGCTTAGAACTTCTTGTGATTTGGTTGTATTAAACTTTTATTTTTGTTTATTATGTTCTTTGAATTATGTTATGTGCATATTATTTTTTAATTTTTGTTGGGATGCATAATTTTATTTATGTTGTGCCATTTCTAGGCTTTGCGCATTTAAATAGCAGGAGTTTAAGTTCCAAAAAGTAAGAGAAAAAAATTTGTTAGCAGAGCGGGCACAGGGGCACAGTATTTCCTAACGGGGCGGGGCTGGATATGAAAATCCAACCCGTCGCGGGTCTCGGGGCGGGCATGGACTTAACAAAAATTAAAAAGAGCGGGGCGAGATTTAGGGAAATCCATTCCAAACCCGCCCCGTTGCCATCCCTATCCATGGGTGTAAATTTCACACTCTACTAAAAAAATAATAATAAAAATAAAAATAGCCGTTTTCTTCCTCACTACGAAAACCTCGCCTCGGTTTCAGTCTTGGGTTTCAGACCTCCGTCCGGCGAGACAGACCCACCACCTCCAAACGAAACAGAACAGCAAACCTCCGTCCGGCGACACAGACCCACAACCTCCAAACGAAACAGAACAGCAAACCTCCGTCCGGCGACACAGACCCACAACCTCCAAACGAAACAGAACAGCGCCTCATAGGTGTCTGAAATCCATTTTCAGACCAAGAACATTTGAATTTAGAGCATCCCTAAACAACCTGAAAACTCCATTGACGAACCTTTGAAGCTCCAAAACACCCATTGAAGCTCTACAAAACCAATTGATCTCCATTGAAGCCTAAACTAACATAGAACTCTACCATTTACAAGAAATTTATACAAATTCAAAAGAATTACAAAGATGGTACAAAACCCAAGTCTCACATCAAATCCTTAAACTCTGTACAACAATCCAGGTTCCTAAAAATTTACACCCATGGACAGATTCATACACATACACATACATCCATTCATCCACAGCATTCAATTAACTATAAATAAACATACTATTTGACAAATCAGAGCTCATACACGATTTAGCATTGACACAATGTACGAAAATGAGTTTTTTAAAAAACCATGAATGATAAATAAGACCGGGAAGTTAAAGGAGACTCACCCTCGAAGATCAACTACCTCCTCAAGGTAGTTCCTAGTGGCCCTTCCTTTTTTTGATTTTACTCCTTTTTGATAAATCTTTCTGAGTCACACTTCCCAAGAGAGGTCACAGTTTCTTAAAAGAGTACACTTCCCCAGTAGAAGTCATAGTTTTTTAAAAGAGTAATTTATTTTGAGACAGGAGAAGCTTTTGTCTTTTTCTTATTTACTTTAAAATATTTCTTCAAGTTTATGAGTAAAAAGAAATTTATTTTGAGACGAGGAAGGTTTTGCTTTTTTCTCATTTTCTTTAAAATAGTTACTTAGGCTAATGAGTGTGAGTACTGTCTTTTTGGAAATATTTGAATGAAATTATGTTTTAAAATATTATGTTTTAAAATAAAAGGGGTAATCTAAAACATCATGGAAGTTCAAAAGTTCAATTGTTACTATTTTTGTCAAAAAAAAAAAAATGTTACTGTTTCATGTCAAAGCTTATAGGTTTCTATTCTTTCAACTGTTACTATTTTTTATTCTTCTTCTTTAGTTTTTTCCAATTTAATACTGTAAAATCATTTTATCATATTTATAGTTAAATATCCGTGTTATATGTGCTATAAACATGTTACTATTTTGGTCGTCAAAATTGAGATATATATATATATATATATATATATATATATATATATTGTAATTTAATAAATTATTTAATCAGATTTATAGATGAATCAATACTGAGGTTAATTGGAACGACTTCAATTAAATGGTCATCATGCTAATCACCCTCACTTGGTGTGCAAATTTTTGCCTGTTTGTCTCAAAATGATATTGCCACTATTGCTAAAAGCATTCTATCAAGAGGAATTTGATGTACACATAAAAGTAATACATTTGTGAATCCTCGGGAAAAGGCTACAAAAAGAAAGTTGGAATGAAGCTTTCTCTGGTTTGATAAAATCATGTTAAGAATATATATGTTGTAAACAAATAAATGAAATGGATTATGACTTCCATCCGAGTGTGGTGGATTGATGAGTTAAACATGATTTGAAAATAAAAAACTCACATTCTTTTTTATTTTTGTTTATGCAAGAACTTGAACCCTCAACCATATTTTAAATAAATATTCAAACTAACAAGCACTCTCTGCACTAAAGAAGTCATTACAACCCGAATATGCAAGTTATTTCTCAATAAATTGCAAGGTAAAAAAAATATATAAAAAAAGGCCTATATAATTTACAAAATTAAAGAAAAAAAAAAATGATTCTTCTTACCCCAAAGAGAAAAAAAACGATTCAAATATTAAAAATACAAATAGAAAAAATGACCCTTATATTAAAGATGCAAAACTTTCTTTTCCGTCCTACAGGAATCATTCATTTCCTCTCAAGAGTTTTCCAAAAATATAGTGCACTTCAAGACAGCCCATTTAGCCTTTGTTTTAGAACACCTCCTATTGAAGGAAATCAAGCTGATGTTGTACTTTCTTGTCAGGGTTTCAGTCCACAAGAAATTAACCCACTTGGATGGAGAAAAAAACCAAAATAGGAGAGACTGAAAGTCCGTGTCCATGATTTCCAAGCCTTGTGAATCTTATTTGCAAGATATCTAACTACATGAACAGCACCAACAGTCAGTATTCCAGAGACAGTCCGCCTTGCACTTGAAATCATAACCCTACGCCTCACAACTTTCCGCATGCATTCAGCAACCTCTTCTCTTGAATTAATCACAACCTCGCGTATAACTTGACCTGCAAAGACAATGTGATGTTAATGCAATCAAAACAAAATTGTTGCATCAGATACATACCCATTTGGAAATCTGCATATGAATTTAAGCAACATTTTTTTTTTTTAATTCTTTTTCCCCACAGAGAGGATTTGAAGCATATGGAAGGCTAGAAACTCTTAAATCAGGGAATATTTGGGTTTCATTTTCCTGTCAATCTACACCATCAGAGTTGAAGTTCATACCAGATTTATCAACTTTTTTCTCTTCTCCTAGTCTCACCATCATTTGGCTTCTGATCGTCGCAGGAAGAATAGAAACAAGGGAGGAAACTGCAGATAAACTAGAGTCCTGGTGTGGACAGATTGAAACATATCAGACAAAAGTACAATAATGAATATTTCATGCCAGCTACACTGCCTTTATATGATCCTAGTAGATCAAAGGAAGGTAGAGAGTATCATGTTTCAACACTGAAATTACAAATATATTCCTGCCGTGACTAGAGCCCCCGAATAAAAATGATTGTTTGAATAATTAATAAGGAAATATTGGACCCTTTCATAACAATAGAAAAGAAAGATACAAGATTAAAGCTGCTCTGGGAATTGAGAACTCAAGGATTTGAATGGACCTGAGATATATTTACTTGGTGAGCACCAGATGATGAAAATCTCAACAAGTCATTGGTCGCGTGTTCTTCTAGATAAGGCCCTTGCACAATCTTCTTCACCTGACAGGTAATGTAGATGTCAACAGAAAATACCAGAGAACAGAAGAATATATCATGCGAATTTCATGTTTTTCACCTCCTAAGGTCAAGGAAATGCGTTACTGGATGTTAGGTGCCAATAATATCTCCAAAACAAGTTAAACAAAAAGGATAAAAACGAGCAGTTATGTAAAATAACCTGTAACCACATCGAGGAAAAATCTCATTCATTACCATCTCAACTTATATTAATTTTGATCTTCCCTTCCCCCAACATCACTCTCAGTGTGGATCTCTTTATGTTTCCTCACTGAACAGTTATTGGTTTTCTCAACTGCAGTTATAATCTTCTACTAATTGTTTTACCAAGTAAATGGACTCCATAGTAAATCTTTCAGTCAGAATTTGAAATTAGTTACAGGGCACCGTGGAAACCCTGATCTTTTTTTATTATCATTTCTCATAGTTTCATTATATGACCCATCTAAGTTCTCGGTAAATGCCACAATTTTATATATTTCTTTTATTTTTATAAATTAGTACTATATTGATTTTCTTCACTCACTTGGCATGTCAATCTAAACATATACATTGAACATACAATACGTTCGAAGCACTTTTCATTTAAACCATCTTGCTTTGGTTTATAAGCAAAGTTATCTCCAATAACTCCCTTTTCTAATAACCAAGAATAGATAACAAAATTGTTTAAGTTTTGCTATATGTCTGACTCTTTATTTCACTACTTTCTTAATTGCATCCAAACTTTACTATAGTTATATTCATACATTCAGTTATAGAACTACTTATTTTAAACCCTTCTGATTCTACATCATCTCTCCGAACAATTAATTTAACATTATCCATTCTTTAGTTTTATTAATCAGAAAAATATCATCAATAAGTAGCATAAACCATGGACCTCATCCTTTATGTTTTTGGTTAATTCATACATAATCAACGCAAAAAGACAGAGGCTTGACATTAATCCTTGATATAAGTTTACAATAATTGAAAATTCACTTGTTTCTCTTGCAGTTGTTCCAATTAATAGTTGCAACTCCATCCTACACATCCTTTATCATTTCAATATATCTATTTATAATGACGTCCACTAGTTATATGGATAATAGTAGAAAGCACAAAGCGTGCTAACACAATCAAAAGATACAAGTGACTTCTCTCCTAAGATTTAAGTAAGTTGTCCTTGAGATCATAGTTTCAGTTTTTTGTATAGCTTGGGACGCGTTCCCCTTTTGAACGCCTTTTATACATTTTACTTATCAAAAAAAAAAAGATCTAAGTAAGTTGTAATCAACCATGCCTTATTTTTATCTTCAATAAAAAGCATACGCAGATCACCCGTATATGAGAGGCTACATATTTTGGCATAGATATCTTCCTGGAAGAGCAAAAAATTATTTTACAAATAAATAATAATTCTGTAATACTAAATAATTTAAGTGAAAAGAAGCAAACCTCATTGAATTTAGATGGCAAAAGAAGGAGAGCAGCAGATGCTGTTGAATTTAGATGGCAAAAGAAGGAGAGCAGCAGATGTTGCAGCTCTCAAATTAACAGAGTTTACATTTGAAATATCCAGATTATCCTTTAGTATATGAACCTAAAAGAAAGAAAAAAAGAAAAAATAAAAAAAAAGCAGTTGAGACATCTCTAGTCAGATATGCACAAAATGCATAAGATAATGATCACAAACAGTTCAGAGAATGTTAAAGCTAATGACGAGTGGAATTTGTGAACCAAACGCATCAAAGAAAATCATAAACAGAATCTAGAGTCTCTCTCAGTTTATTCGATCACACAAAAGAAAGAAAGAACCCAGCCTAAATCAATATGCTTGAAATTTTTGCCAATTCAAAAGATAAAACCTCATTACTGACATCATGACCACAGCCACTACTCCTTAACTATCACTATGCTCTCTTTCCACAATGCCCATAAATTTTAAGCAAATATGCTTTCTAAGTAACTTTATCCATTAACCTACCGATTGACACCCTACAAAACCAGCAGTTCCTCGTTTTTTCCAGTTGGGTTTACCATGTAAAAATCTGTCTCTCTTTACTTTATTTTCGATAGGTCTAAATCACTGCTCGTACTGTGACATATCAGAGCTAGGGTGACGATCACACACACCCAGCGAGCCTAAATATCAAACTTGATATTTAGGACATATATATATATGTATATATATATATATAACTAGATAATTCATAATCAATTCTTCTTAGATGATTCATCCACAATTCCTCTTCTCTATCTCAACTTTTGATTCCAATACTAGTGTTTTGATTCTTTTGAATAATTACAAGGTCCACAAGAGTTGTTCAGTAGCCCTTATTTTATACTTAAAACCTAACCCTTTGATCATAAAACTCTAATCCTAGTTGCTCCACCATTCTAGCACAAAAACATTTGTTTTCCCTTGGTATAATTTTTTTAACTTTTCTTTTGATTCTCAAAACCAAAATTAGTTTTCAATCAGACTAATTGTTGCATCAGATACCCATTTGGAAATCTGCATATGAATTTAAGCAACATTTTTTTTTTTAATTCTTTTTCCCCACAAAGAGGATTTGAAGCATATGGGAGGCTAGAAACTCTTAAATCAGGGAATATTTGGGTTTCATTTTCCCATCAATCTACACCATCAGAGTTGTTGTTCATACCAGATTTACCAACTTTTTTCTCTTCTCCCACTCTCATCCTCATTTGGCTTCTGACCGTCGCAGGAAGAATAGAAACAAGGGAGGAAACTGCAGATAAACTAGAATCCTGGTGTTGACAAATAGGAACATATCAAGACAAGAGAACAATAATGAACTTTTCATGCCAGCTACACTGTTTTTATATGATTCTACTAGATAAAGGTAGGTAGAGTATCATGTTTCAACACTGAAATTACAAATATATGTGTGGCCTCACTGGAGTCCCCGAATAAAAGTGAATGTCTGAATAATTGATAAGGAAATATTGGACCCTTTCATAACAATAGAAAAAGATAGAAAAAGAAAAGATACAAGATAAAATCTGCTCTGGGAATTGAGAACTCAAGGATTTGAATGGACCTGAGATATATTTACTTGGTGAGCACCAGATGATGAAAATCTCAACAAGTCATCGGTTGCATGTTCTTCTAGATATGGCTTATACATTGTTTGGAATAAACCAAACTGCCCATGCACAATCTTTTTCACCTGACAGGTAATAAAGATGTGGACGGAAAAGACCAGAGAACAGAAGAATAGATCATGCCGATTTCACCTACAAGGTCGAGGAAGTGCCATACGGATGTTAGGCACTAATAATATCTCCAAAACAACAAAGATTAAAATGAAAAGTTATGTAAAAGAACATGTAACCTCATCGAGGAAATATCTAGATTTCAGAACATTCTATTATAATCGTTACATTATTCCTAATATAATTCAGAATCCATATCTTGGCAATATCAGACTTTCCATTATTGGTTTATGACCTATGTTACCTGAACTCGGGTACGTCTGTCAGGTACAGGCACCAAGGAAACCTTAATCTTTGTTTTATTATCAATTCTCATAGTTCCATTGTATGATCTATATAAGTCCTCGATAATTGCCACAATGTGGTATATCTCTTTCATAATTGTAAATTAACTATATTGCTTTTCTCTACTCATTTGGTATGTCATAAAGTATAATAGGTCTAAGCGTTGTTTCATGGAATTTGCCTTTTAGTCTAAAGGAATATGTTGATCATACAATCTGTTAGGAGCACTATGCATTTAACCCATCTTGCTTTGGTTTTATAAGCAAAACTATCTCCAATCTCTCCCCCTCTTCAATAATCAAGACTAGACAACAAAACTGTTCAAGTTTTGATATCTTCCCACACTTTATTTCACTATTTTCTTACTCGCATTCACAACTTTACAAAAGTTGCATTCATACATTCAGTTTAGTCCTATTTATCTTAAACTCTTTTGATTCTACACTGTCACTCCGAACAATTAATTTAACATTGTCCCTTCTTTAATTTTATTAATCAGAAAAACATCATCAATAAGTAGCCTAGACCATGAACTTCATCTTTTACGTTTTTTTGTTAATTCATTTATAATCAAGTAAAAAAAATAGAGGCTTAACATCAATCCTTGATATACGTTTACGATAATTGAAAATTCGCTTGTTTCTCTTGCAGTTGTTCTAAATATAGTTGTAACTCCATCTTACGCATCCTTTATCATTTCAATATATCTATTTATCACATGACAGCCACTAGTTATATGTATAATATCAGAAAGGACAAAGCACACTAACACTATCGGAAGCTACAACTACAAGTGATATTCTTCGCTTAAGATCTAAATAAGTTGAAATCAACCTTACCTTATTTTTATCTTCTGCAAAAAGCATACACAGATCAACCATATATGAGAGGCTGCATATTTTGGCATAGAGATCTTCCTGGAAGAGCATCAAATTATTTTACAAATAAAATAATAAGTTTGTAGTATTAAATAATTTAAGTGAAAAGAAGCAAACCTCGTTGAATTTGGATGGCAAAAGAAGGAGAGCAGCAGACGTTGCAGCTCTCAAATTAAAAGAGTTTACATTTGAAATATCCAGATTATCCTTTAGCATATGAACCTAAAAAAAAATGTTTCAGAGAAGACAGTTCGGTCACACAAAAGATAATGAGCACATTCAGTGGATGATAGATCATAACTAACATCAAACGGTTCAGAGAAAGTTAAAGATAAATAGCATGCAGAATTTGTGAACCACACACATCAAAGAAAATCATAAGCAGAATCTTGAGTCTCTCTCAGCTTAATTCAATCCACAAAAGAAAGAAAGAAACCGCCCTATATCCCTGTGCTTGAATTTTTTGCCAATCCAAAAGATAAAACCTCAAACATGCCAATTCTAAGTACAGGGCTGAAATTCAAACAATTTACATAAACAAAGCCCAAAAAGAGGCCATACTGACATTATGACCACATCCACCACAAATTCCTCCTTAATTATCACTATGTTCCCTTTCCACATTGCCCATAAATTTTAAGCAAATATATTTTCTAAGTAACTTTATCCATAAACCTCCAGCCTGGTACACCTACTCATTGACAAAGCTTCTCACACAGCTAAGCATCACCTGCTATACATAAAATAGGCTAAAGAAACACCTGCTTCTCACATAACTTCATCCACAATTATGAAGTATACAGCCCCTTCATCCAAATGGAAATAAAAACCACCTCACACTACTACCTGAATACATCTTCAATCGCCTGCAAATAACACCCAAAAATATGTATGTGAGATTCACAAAAAATGCATGAAGATCAGACACGATAATCCAACATGGAAATGTGGGACATTTGTCCAACACTTGTGGTTAGAGATGCACTAAACAAGTATATCAATATAAAAAATTTGTACATAAAACTCCCTCGTTATGTTCCTTTTTGTCTACAATTTCTAAAACCACTGATTCTACTCTGAAGAAGATAATTCAATATATGTGAATTTTTAGCCTTATTGCAGTTTTCTTAGGCTGGAAGATTTGATATCCTACACTCAACTCACATACCACATCTAATACATATACCGAGTCCACCCAAGATAGGGGCATATAGCAAAATTGTTAGACCCATAAACTTAATTGGATTGTTTAACCATTGGTATGATCTTTGATTACTTTGTCAAGATGGAAATCCAAATCCAGAACATTTTTGTTGGTTATCAACATACCTAGAATTCCATTTTATAGGACTCCTTGAGTATGAGAAAGTGCACAAAAAACACAAAAGGCATAAATAAACAACCATTATAATCCAAAAGAATTACTAAATAAACATAATGATTAAAATTTAAGAGCCGAATCAAAAGTAATAATTGTCACTGAATCAACATAAATGTGTAAAGCTTTGCTACACTCCTCATCCTCAAGCATTCAGCAATTCACATGATTCATCATCATCATCCTTACCTTAATCCCATATGAATGGGTCGACCACATGAATTCTCTCACTCCAAACTTTTCTATTACAAGCCATTTCATCTATACTGTGTTTAACTTTTTAATATCGTTTTCAATAACCTCATCCGATGTTATTGAATCAAATCGCGTTTAGGTCACATTCACTCTAATAATGTAACACCATCTCTCTGGGTTAGTTGAAATACTAGGAATAATTCTACCACTTCTACTAGGGATGGCCTTTTTTATCCAACTGCTTTAGCCAATATTGGAACACAACTGAAAATCGTCCTCCTTTTTTTTTTTTTTTTTTTCAAGTCAATCATCTAGACCCCAAACAACAGGGCATGAGAGAGTTATGACATAGCAGTCCCTACCAGATAAAAATACAACACAATAAAGGCATGGTCACACTACAATTGCTTATATGGAGACAACAAGGACAATGATAATATATTTGCAATTATACAAATTTAAAATGATAAACATTCATATATCATCACAAACCATAAGGCGTGGGATAGTATTTCAATCCAAGAATTGATCCATTCCACATTCTCATCCTGATTTAAATAGGGGCTACTAAAGCCTAGACTCACTTAAATAGCACATCAAATTATAAGTATCGGTCCAAAATTCCCAAAGCTCAGTACTAATCCTTCATATTTTACAATCCAACCTTATGTAGGAAAAAAAGTTTATAGAAGAAAAAAAAAGGTGGTCAAATGTGTTGAGACACTGACCTAAATCTATGACCTAAACTCCCTCATTTTCAGCTAAAAAGTCTTTTTTCTTCATATATATGAGTAATTCTCCTTACTCAAATATTCACTTTACAAAAGATAGCGAACTCATGAATAAAATAGTCTTCATTAAATAACACTTACTATACTTATCAAAAAATTTAATAACACTTACTATTAGAAACCAAGCCCAAATGAACAAAGCCAACCACCCACCGATCACCACAATTTCCCCCTTCTTAACACCCAAAATTGCATCCACATCTTTTACCATCTCCTCTTCCAAAACCACATTCCACATTCTACCTAACATCAACTTCTATTTTATGAAGATCATGAACCCTCCTGTTGAGATAGCATCTCCAACTCGCCATCATTAGTCCAAAAACCTCTATATCGCTCCCCGAAACTCGCCTCAGCCAATTTCAGTACAACTAAGGTGACCGCCACTACCTTTCCAGCACTCGTCATTGCAAGCGAAAAACGTAACTCATTCTACAAACTAATATCTAATGTTTTACTTACCCAAAAAAACTAATATCTAATGTTCTTAACAATACTTTTATTGGAAAAATGGTAAGAGTTGTGGTACACGGACATAAGCTTTCAACTAATTAGACATCATATTTATTAATATTCAATCTATTTCTTCTTTCGAAGAAAGTTTTAAGTGTTTAGAACCCTTTTATTTCTTACAATAAAACAAAATAAGAGTTATGCTGCATCGACATAAGCTTTGGACTAAATTAGACATGTTATTCTCATCATATTCTAGTTCCTCTTTTTGAAGAAGTTTTGAAGTGATTGGAACCCTTGAAATGATTTTTCTAAAATTCACACTATAATCCAAAAGAGATAATATCCCTGGAATCAACTTCAATAAATAAATATATGTATATATATATATATATATATATATATATATATATATATATCTAGAATCCTTGATAGCATCTAATATCCTAAATTTCACCCTATAACTTATAAATGAGATATAAAAAAAAAAAAAAATAAAAAAATAAAAAAAAAAAAAAAAAAGAAACCACATGAAAAAAAAATGGGAATTAGACAATAAGCTGTTGAACTCCATAAATATACATATATAGATACACATACAAATAAATTCTCCATAATTTCCTCTCCCCAAACAAGTAATAACAGAATCTAACGTACATCTGATATATTAATTTTACCTCATGAGTCTTAGCCACGCGGATTGGTCGGTTTCCCTCGAACACATTAGCACAAAAAATATTAGACTGACCATCAGCATCATCCTTATCCTTGGCCTCAAAGTTAAGGCACAAGAAGAAATTAACACCCAAAACGTTTGCCCCAAAAGTTCTCACAAACTCGTAATTTGTCCCCTAGTACCAAAGAAATTTTCCAATATGAAAAGAAGAGTAATGTGAATTTAACATATATTAATTAAAACAAAAATAAAAATAAAAATAAAAATAAAATAAAAACAACCTTGCATACATTCATTTTATTGTACTGCTGAATTGATGATCGACAGTAACCAATGACTGAATCTGAATTCTTGTGGGGGTGAAATTTTGGAGCAAAAAGCCCCTATAAAAAAACACCAAATTAATTAGCATTATATATATACATATAGACACTATGTTATGTTTAAATATAACGATGGGGTTGAGGAGAAGAGTCACATACTCCTTTTACGAGAACCGCTTCACGGTACAAGGCTATCTGTTCATCAGTCAACACATCACGGATGTTCAGCCCCTTTCCTGGTTGTCCATAAGACTTTTGTGGTGGTTCAGAAGTGACATGGGAGACGGAAGAAGCCATACGATTGCACAACAGAAAAACCCTAACCCTAACTGGCACCAACGATTTGATGAGAATGAGATATACTTGTAAGATGGATATGGACCCAAAAACATGTATGTGAGATTCACAAAAATGCATGTAATAATGAGACACGACAATCAAACATGGAAATACGGGACATTTGTCCAACACTTGTGGTTAGAGATGCACTAAACAAGTATATCAATAACAAAAATTTAAAGTATTTGTACATAAAACTCCCTCGTTATGTTCTTTTTTGTCTACATCACTGTCTCAAACAGCTGATTTACTCTACAGAATATTCAATATATGTGAATTTTTAGCCTTATTGCAGTTTTCTTAGGTTGGAAGATTTGATATCCTACACTCAGTCACATACCACATCCGATACATGTACTGAATCCACCTAAGATAGGGCATATAGAGAAATTGTTACACCCATAAACTTAAGCGAATTGTTTAACCCATGGTAGGATCTTTGATAACTTTGTCAAGGTGGAAATCTAGATCCAGAACATTTTTGTTGGTTACCAAGAGGTGCACAAAATTCACAAAAGGCATAAATAAATAACCATTATTATCCAAAAGAATTACTAAATAAACAAATTAAAGAGACGAATAAAAAGTAATAATTTTCACTAAATTAACATAAATGTGTAAAGCATTGCTACCCTCCTCATCCTCGAGCATTCAAACCCTTCACATGATCATCATCATCATTCTTACCTTAATCCCATATGAATGGGGTCGACCACATGAATTCTCTTGCTCCACACTTTTCTATTACAAGCCATTTCATCAATACTGTATTTAACTTTTTAAAATCATTTTCAATAACCTCATCCGATGTTATTTTTGCTTGCCCTCTCAATCTCTTACCTTCTATTACCACTAGTCTTCCTCGTTTGACTGGCACATTTTAGGTCTCCGATGTATAAGTCCAAACCAAACCATCTAAGTCCACTCTCTTGAATTTTCTCACCAATGGGTGCTACAACTATTTTTTCTCAATTTCATTAGTAACCTATCTTTCCTAGTCACTCTACTCATCATCTTAACATTCTCATTTCCACTACATGAAGGTGTCGTTCTTGTTTCATTTGTTGGGCCCAACACTCCACTCCAATAGAATTTTCCTTTTAACCTATTATCAAATTAAATCTCACTAGATTGTCTCCATTATGTCCAACCCACTCCAATTATACTTAAAATAGATCTTACTTTATATCAAACACTTATTTTCCTATTTTCAGACATAAGAGATAGAAATAGATTAAAATATAAAAAGAGAGAATTCTTTTGGGTGTTAATGCACCATGAGACTGCAAAGATGAAAGATCAAACCCACATAAAGTAACTCAAAACGAAAAAGGTGATGACACCAAATAAATTAGTGAAAGTAAATTAAGGCTAAAACTTGGGAAAATTAATTTATGATTGCTAGCAGAAATTCAACATACATAAATAAATAGAATGCATAAGGCGACCTGCTATAATGACTGTGGTAGTGTGATATATCAATGTCTTGGGCAATGGTTCTCAAATTCTTCAAGAAGAAAAAAGTAGATAAAATGCCAAACTTACTCTAGGTAGATGAAAAGATCACATTCTCATAATCAAATTGGGTTAAGGTTACATTCACTATAATAATGTAAAACCATTTCTCTAGGTTAGTTGAAATACTAGGAATAATTCTGCCACTTCTACTATGGAAGGCCTTTTTTATCCAACTGCTTCAGCCAATATTGTCCAACAACTGAAAATCGTCCTCCTTTCATTATTTCAAGTCAATCATCTAGATCCCAAAGAACGGGGCATGAGAGAGTTATGACATAGCAATCCCAACCAGCTAAAAATACAACGCAATAAAGACATGGCCGCACAACAATTGCTTATATGGAGACAACAAGGACAATGGCATTTTGTAAGATATTTTAAAAAATAATAATATCATTGCAATTAGACAAATTTAAAATGTTAATTGTTCATCTATTAGGGCAAAATGCAAAACCCCCCAAACCAACATAATTACATTGTATAAGGTTTGCAAATGAGACCAAAGCTTTAAATGCCAACTAGGAGCTACATGGATTAACTAATATACCACAACAAAACGATGTTAATTTATTATTATTATAATTTCTAGAACATTTTACCCATTCAATAAAAATGTACCAAGATGACCCGTTTATTCTGTACTCTTTTTCTCTGTTAATTAGTTCATTTATACATGTACACACACATCCACTCCCAAATGATGGAGAAGCAAGATTTACCAGCCATATTCCTTTTCCGCTTTTTAGCCACTTCAAAATTGTTCTATTTCATACTCTTTCCACCATTATCACTAGAGATTGTTGGCACTCTTCTCAAGCAATACAAATCTCAAAATTATTATTGATCAATACAATTGTTTGATATTGTCTTTTTCAATGTACAGTCATTTCCTCAGTATCACACCATAAGCAGTGGGATTGTATTTCAATCCGAGAATCGATCCATTCCACATTCTCGTCCTGATTTAAATAGGGACTACTGAAGCCTAGATTCACATAAATAGCACATCAAATTATAAGTATGAACTCGGTCCAAAATTCCCCAAGCTCAGTGCTAATCCTTCATATTTTACAATCCAACCTAATGTAGGAAAAAATGTTAAAAGAACAAAAAAATGGTAAAATGTGCTTAGACATAGACCTAAATCTATAACCTAAATTCCCTCATTATCTTGATTTGGGTAAGGATTGGATGATTGAAAACATAGGAGCTGCTAGTGAGTTGCTAGGTGTTTCTTCAGAGGTAAACAGTAACCAGACACTTTCCATTCTTCAAGCTATAGTGGAAGGCAGAGAGGTTGCTGTGACTGAAGAGGTAGTGAACCCGAGGCCTTTATCATCCTGGAAAGGGGCACAGGAGATCAAGAATCTGATCTCTGAAGTCAATTATGAAGGAAAGAAGGGGGTGGTGAAGGAGAGGGGAAGGACTAGGAGTCGGAGCGCGAAGAAAGGAGGTGGGGAAATTATCTTATCTGGTTTTTAATGAAGCTACGAATTATTTCTTGGAATGTTCATGGTCTCAACGACCCGAATAAAAGGAGGGTGGTTAAGGTTGCTTTGAGGAAGTGGGGGGGCCATGTTGTTTGTTTGCAAGAAACAAAGTTGGCATCCACTACGGATGGGGTGGTTAGGAGTTTGTGCGGAGGAAGGTTTGTAGAATGGGAGGTTTTGAATGCTACAGGTACTTCAGGCGGTATCTTAATTATGTGGGATTGTAGATGGGTGTCACAGCTGGATGTGTGGGTGGGGGAGATTCTCAGTGTCTTGCAAGTTCAAGTTGGAAGAGGACAATTTCAGTTGGGTTTTCACTAGGGTCTATGGACCAGTTGTTGATATCGATCGGCCTTTTTTCTAGGAGGAGCTTAATCATGCTCAAGAAATGTGGTCTCTTCCTTGGTGCTTGGGTGGGGACTTCAATTCTGTTAGATTCCTATTAGAGAGGTCCACATGAGGTAGGAGGTCTTCTAAAATGGATCAGTTTTCTGATTTCATTGACGAGCATCTTCTCATCGATTTACCTATGGAAGGTGCAGCCTATACATGGTCTAATGGCAGGGACCCAGTCACTTTTTCAAGGCTGGATCGTTTCTTGATTTATGGGGAGTGGGAAGAGAAATTCCCGGATGTCGTTCAAGCAGTTTTAGCTCGGGTCATTTCTGATCATGTTCCTTTGGTTTTAGATTGTGGAGGTTTGAGTTCTCAAAGGTCTCCGTTTCGATTTGAGAATATGTGGCTAAGAGCGGAGGACTTCCAAGGGAAAGTTCAGTCTTGGTGGGAGGGAGTTGTTGTCATAGGCTCATCTAGCTTCATGTTAACTACAAAGTTGAAGGCTCTCAAATTCGATCTTAAAAAGTGGAATAAAGACGTTTTTGGGAATCTTGAATGGAGGAAGAGTAGAGTCCTTGCTGATTTTTATGAGATTGATCGCCTAGAAGAGGCGGGTGGGGATATGGAGTTCTTGCGTTCTAGGAGAGCTTCTTGTCAGGCAGCTTTTGCAAAGATTGCTAGTATAGAGGAGATATCTTGGCGACAAAAATCTCGGGCTCTTTGGTTAAAAGAGAGAGATCGCAACACAAAATTTTTTCGCAGACTAGCTAACGCTCATAGAAGAAGACGTATTCGGGTAGAAGGTGTAGAGATGTGGAAGGAGGAAGATGTGCGTAATGGGATGGCTTCTTTTTATCAGAAACTTTATACTGAACCGCTTGTTTGGAGACCCAAACTTGATGCTCTTCATTTCGAGGCCATTTCTGAGATCGATAAGGAAGGGCTTAAGATTCCTTTTACTGAAGAAGAAGTTCTAAAGGCCTTATCTAGTTGTAATGGGGACAAAGCTCCGGGGCCAAATGGGTTCACTATGCGGTTTCTTTTGGAAAGTTGGACAGTTGTGAAAAATGATGTCATGGGCACTTTTCAGGAGTTTTATTCTACAGGTGCTTTTGAGAAGTCGCTTAATGCAACTTTCATTGCCCTTATCCCTAAGAAGGGAGGTGCTTCTGACATTAAAGACTTTCGTCCTATCAGCTTAGTGGGTTGTATCTACAAGCTTCTAGCTAAGGTCCTTGCTCTTAGTTTGAGGGGAGTGATGGATGGGATTATTTCAGATTCCCAGAATGCTTTTGTTGGAAGACGACAAATTCTTGATTCAGTTCTTATTGCAGGTGAATGTGGATTCCATATTAAGAAGTGGAGCTCCTGGAGTTTTGTGCAAACTTGACATTGAGAAAACGTATGATCATGTGAATTGGAATTTCCTGCTTCATTTGCTTCAGAGAATGGGGTTTGGAAGTAAATGGAGGAAATGGATTGAGGCATGCCTTTCGTCAGTTAAATTCTCTGTTCTTGTGAACGGGTTTCCTGCTGGTTTCTTTGGGTGCTCTCGGGGTTTAAGACAAGGAGATCCCCTGTCATATTTCCTCTTTCTTATTGTTATGGAGGGCTTAAGCAGACTTATGCGAAGAGCAGATGATCTTGATCTTATCAAGGGCTTTATGGTGGGAAGAGATCCTGTTCATCAAATGGAGGTCTCTCATTTACTTTTTGCAGAAGACACCCTGGTTTTTTGTGATGCTAATGTGTCTCAACTTAGATATTTGAGGTGCATTTTGGCCTGTTTTCAGGCTGTCTCTGGTCTGAAAGTTAATGTGGCTAAAAGTGTGCTTGTGTTGGTTGGAGATGTTCAGGATATTTCTTCTTTAACGGAAGTCCTTGGGTGTAGAGTTCTTTTCCAATTCAGTATTTGGGCTTGCCTTAAGGGGTTTCCTCTAGAACAGTGGGGTGTTGGGACCTTGTGATTCATAGGTATGCGAAGAGATTAGCGGGATGGAAAAAGCAATACTTGTCTGAGGGAGGGAAAGTTACGCTTATAAAGAGCACTTTATCTAGCCTTCCTACTTATTTTTTATCTATGTTCCAAATTCCATGCTCTGCTGCTGATAGGATCGAAAAAATTCAAAGGGATTTCCTTTGGGGTGGAAGAGGTGATGAATTTAAGTATCACCTTGTCAATTGGGAACAAGGTTGCAAGCCAATGAAGTTTGGTGGTCTTGGTATCAGAAGACTAATCCCTTTTAACCAAGCTCTTCTGGGTAAATGGTTGTGGAGGTATGGAAGGGAAAGGCATTGCCCATGGCGATGGCTAGTTTCATGTCGATATGGGGAAGAGAGTGGTGGTTGGTCTACTCGTCCGGTTTCTCTAGTGGGAGGAGTTGGGGCGTGAAAATTCATAAGGAAGGGATGGGATGCTTTTTCTACTCATATCAGATTCAAAGTTCGTGATGGCAGATGTGTACGCTTTTGGGAGGATCTTTGGTGTGGAGACCAGCCTTTATCTCGTTTATTTCCCAGGTTATACAGTATTGCAGTTGATAGACTTGCCTACGTAGCCAACTGTTATCAACTTGATAACAGAGGGATTACGTGGGACGTGCAATTTCGACGCTCTTTTCAGGATTGAGAGGTGGACGAGGTATGTGTTTTCATGGATTTGTTGTATCGACAGGAGGCAGTTGGCAGCGGTAGTGATGATATGACATGGATTCCCTCTTCCCATGGTCGCTTTGAAGTTCGTTCCTTATTCTTGTGTCTTTCTGATTTCGATATTGTTGATTTTACATGGAAGACCATTTGGCATTCTATGGCTCCAACTAGAGTGGCATTCTTTGTTTAGACCGCTGTTTAGGATAAGATCCTTACGATTGATAATCTAAGGAAGAGGGGCAATTGTCTTGTTAATTGGTGTTGTTTGTGCAAACAAGATAGTGAGTCAGTTGCTCACATTCTCATGCATTGTCCTATAGCGAGGGGTTGTTGGACTCTTATCTTTTGCCTGTTTGATATGCATTGGGTTATACCTCGTTATCCTAAGGATTTGATTTGTATATGGAGAGGATGCCGTGTGAGTAGCGTTGTTCGCAATTACTGGAGAGTTGTACCACATTGTGTTTGGTGGTGCATTTGGAAGGAGAGGAATAGTAGAATGTTCGAAGGGAAAGAATCGTCCACAGCGATTCTAAAACTTCACATCATACGCTCTCTTTTCAGTTATGTGAAGAGGAAGTCCTATTCTTCTTTCGAAGATTTAATTATTTTTTTGGCTTCTTTGGGATCTTAATCCCTAGTTCCACTTTTGTATAAGGGACGCGTTCCCCTCTTGAACGTCTTTTTTATTTCAATTATTACTAATCAAAAAAAATATATACATGAGTAATTCTCCGTACTCAAATCTTCACTTTACATAAGATAGTGAACTCGTGAATAAAATATTCTTCATCAGATAACACTTACTATACTTATCAAAAAAATTTAATAACACTTACTATTAGAACCAAAGCCAAATAACCACCGATCACCACCATTTCTCCCTTCTTAACACCCAAAATAGAATCCACATTTTTTACCATCTCCTCTGCCACAACCACATTCTACCTCTCACCGCCTTCTATTTTGTGAAGATCATGAATCCTCCTATCGAGATAACATCTCCAACCCACCATTATTAGTCCAAAAACCTCTATATCCCTCTGTGAAACTCGGCTAAGCCAATTTCAGTACAACTAAGGTGACCACCACTACCTTTGATGGTACCTTTCCAGCCCTCGTCGTTGCAATCAAAAAACGTGACCCATTCATTATGCTCCAACTTAAGTTGATGTCAATCCAAAACATAAAGGTGCATAGGATAGGTATAATGGTGAAAATGATAATACTATATGCCTTGAGTTTTGCACATGACTACATTCTATTTTTCTTCAAACATTAGCAGATAGTAGGGTAACTGCAAAATTTTGAGTAATTTCGAGTTATTGGTCAAAAAAGGTGGTTGTTTCTGCTGTAGCACATTGGAAATTTCTCATGAACTAAGAAAAAAAGGTGGTTGTTTGCAAAATAACAAATAGTTTGAGAGGTGGGGTTCTAAATTTTTCTCTAAATACTAATATCTAATGTTCTTAACAATACTTTTATGGAAAACTTGCTAAGAGTTGTGGTACATGGACATAAGCTTTCAACTAATTATACATCATATTTCTTACAATATTCATCTTATTAGAAAGTTCTAAGCATTTATAACCCTTTTTATTTCTTACAATAAAACAAAATAACAGTTATGTTGCATCGACATAAGCTTTGGACTACATTAGACATGCTATTCTCATTATATTGTAGTTCTTCTTTTTGAAGAAGTTTTTAAGTGATTGGAACCCTTGTAATGCTTTTTCTAAAATTCATACAATCATACTATTAGATAGATACACACACAAATAAAATCTCCATAATTTCCTCTCCCCAAACAACTAATAACAGAGTCTAATGTACATAATAATCAAATCTCCATAAAAGTGGAACAGTCTCGAAACTGCTATCTAACTAATAAATTAATTTTACCTCATTAGTCTTGGTCACGTAGATTGGTCAGTGGTTTCCCTCGAACACATTAGCACGAAAAATTTCAGGCTGACCATCAGCATCATCCTTATCCTTGGCCACAAAAGCCAGGAACAAGATGAAATGAGAAATACCCACCACGTTTGCATGCGCAGTTTTCACAAACTCGTAATTTGTCCCCTAATACCAAAGAAATTTTCCAATATGAAAAGAAGGGTAATGTGAATGTAAGTTATATTCAAAAAAAAAAAAAAAAAAACTGGTCAAGATATTATATTTAAGCACCCCACTAGCATACTAACATTTCTCTACAATACTTGGAAGGAAGACAAAAGTACCTTCTTTGCACATTTCTTTTCCCTAACTTCATATCTTCCTCTTGTTAAGTCAGACAGCCACATCCCAGGAAAACAATACTGCCAAAAACACACACTGCCAAAAACACCAAACATCAATAATAACCACAAAAACAACAATGAAAGAGACACTTACGATTATCTAGATATGACTATTACAAAAAATAAATAAATAAACTATACAATACCTGGAGAATTCTCTCAATGGTCTTAGCCCTTTTCTTAGGTCTATGAGGAAGTTTTGTGCCTTTCATTGCCAAAAAATCCTCTTCTTTCTCCTTCCTTGTTAGAGGGATGTAAATCCTAGGCCACTCAACCACCTCACCATTCGCCTTCTCTCCTCCGGTCACCATCCCCCCATTACCAGTATTATTCCGATTATGATCATTACAAACAACTTGTTTCTCTGGTTGCAACAGAGCAGAATCAATACAATTCATTTCATCTGCTACTGCTGAAATTGTTGCTGCTTGCTTGAAGGCAACCCCATTCAACTTATGATCCCGGGATGATCCTCCGGTAGGAGGGGCCTTTCTATCGAATTTCTCTGAAAGAGTAGGAGATCGTTTTCCCACCGTATATCTAGACACAACCCGGCGACTGCTGCTGCCACTGTCGTTGCTCGATGGGCTCCCATTTGCAACACCACATCTTTCTTCCAAACTCCTCCTGGTCATGGCAAAAAATACCAAAGGAAAAAAAGTAAGAATTTATGCAGTTCAACACAGCATATGATGATAACATACATAAATCAAATTCAGACAACGGATAAGACAAAAAGGTTGAATACCCATCTGAAAATACATTAATATATATATAGATATTATAGTAAGATTATTGGAGTGTATACACACACACAGACATATTGAACAACAAATTGAACCACATAAAAGGAGAAAAGCAATATAATTCATCAAAAGAAAAGGCAAATTAAGAGAGAAGGAACTGATACCTAAAATCCATCAGAAAACAAAAGACAGCACAGAGTAGATGTAGACTAACAAAGAAAGAGGTAGAAAAAGGGTATTGAGGTCTCAAATTGGATTATCTATAGGGAAATGATGATTCTACAAAGTTCGTTGGTAATGGTTTAAGCGTTTTCTGATCTTTAAAGGTATAAAGGTAAAATTAAAGGAAAAGTTACATTGAAGGAGATCTAGTCAGAATGAAGCTAAGGACGTTGGAGTCTTTGGACTAGATCAACCATGACCAAAAGTAAAAGAATCTTTTTCCAGATGACCAAATAAAGCAAGCAAATTATCCCTTTAAAAATATTTTAAAAAAAAAAAAACCCATTATCAGAAATTGGAATCATCAAAAAGAATATGTAAAAAGAGCAAATTACACAATTTACCAATGAACAAAGGAAGAAAATAATGAAAATTGAACACACGGTGAATCACACACACACATACCGGTTTGCAAAAATGCCGGAGCTTTTCTTGCCATTAGATAGTGAAGCAGTTGAATTAACAGAAGAAGGAAGGGGCGGTGGTGGCGGTGGCATGGCTGGGCGATCAATGGTGATGGTGGTGGTGGTTGGGAGCTTATCCGCCGCCGCCACCACACCTGGAATTGGGTTTCACTGCATTAATCTCCTTTGAACTTTGATGGGTTGCCTTGGTTGAAGCTGAATTGACGACTATGACTCGTCCGTGGCTGCCACCACCGCCGCCACACGGACATCAGCCCTCGAGCACCTTGACCTCTTCCTGTGTCCCCATTGCAACAGCACATCACCTCCACCACCTCCATTGCAGCTGGGACTATTGGTCCTTGCTGGGATGGCCTCATATTGGTGTTGATGGTTGTTATCAGACTGAGCTGGAGAACGGGGAACACCACCTCCACCACCAACACCGCCACCACCAACGCTGCCACCGTCGAAATGAGACAAATTCTGGTCTGGGGTCTTAGATGGGGATCTAAATCTAGGCAACCTTTTGCTTCACTTGAATTGGAATCGGATCTTTTACCATTGCTCAAAGGTAGACCATCTGAGCTCACCCTCTGATGATATCTGTCAATAAGCCATTTGAAGCATAGGATTCAATGTTATAAATGCAAATTAAGAACATAACTAATTGGGAAATGAAAAAAAAAATATGCAGTAATCTGATCTGAAACAGAAAATTTGGAAGGTATCAGATCTGATCAACAAATGGACAAGAACTGAAATTGTTCTCTGCTGATCTCTCTGTTCCTCCCCTGTTTAATTGCATTAACATGAATCACTAAATATATTCCATCTTCAACTCTAAATTCAATTAGACTCAACAGAAATAATATTTGCCTCTTCTTAGATCTCTTACTAAATTTAGCTAACCCAAAAGCCACATTTCAGCTGGACAATAGTAGAAAACATAAAAATTCAAAACAAAAATGTTGGTGAAAGAAACAGTGTCTTGAGATTTTATCAGAAAAGTAACATAACAAAACCAAGATGATTTCGATTTCGATTCCGAAGAATGAAAAGGATGACACCAATCTCAACCAGAGAATGGATGAACGAAAAAACCCAGAAAGTTGTGATTGGAAGAAAAAAATTGAAAACTCAGACCAATCCAGTGACACTGATACTACACAACCTAAGAATTGAACCAATAGTTGGAGAATTTCGCAAAGAAAAGTCCCAATCTTTCATGGGTGAGAGCTAAGACAGAACAATTCTTTCTCACGATGCTTTGACAGAATGATAACAAACTCAAATAACAAATCAAGACTTGCATGATCTGAGACAAATTTTCTGAAAAATGAACAGGGAAATAAAATCTGCATATCGAGACTACCATGGATTTACAGAACTTGATCTGTTGAGATTCAATTCGAAAGATCTGCAATTACAATACAGAAAATTTGGATAATTTAGTCTCCTCATCCATGATAATGAATATATACATAGTATAATGTATAGAGAGAGGGAGATACAGAGAAAGAGAACAGGGCAAGAGCCAAACTGAACACGAATCACCACCTGAATCTGATGAAAGATTGGTTTTTACAAAACATCTCTCCATATATACATATTGATAATTGGAAAAACAGAATCAATTCAGTGAAAAGTTAAACAAAACTGATCTAAATGATCATAACTTGAGATCATTTTAAAATATGCAAACGAACAATAACAAGAAAGCTTTTGTTCTGGTTCATTCTGCTTCACACACACTAAGACATAAAATAAAATAAAAAAACGCACACACACACACATAGACAGAGAGAGAAAGTGGGTAAGAGAATTTCGGGCAGAAGCAGCTATCGGACGAACCTCATCATATTCCACTGCGCTGAAACGATTGAAGGAACCACTGAAAGTAATACACTATTCGCCGTCCCAGTTTGCAAATCAAATTGCCACTACAAGGACTTGTATACCATGATTCTGAACCAGTCTCTCCTCATTATCCCATAAGAGAGAGAAAGAGATACCCAGAACAGGAGAGAGGGAGACCCAGAAGACGAATGAGAAGGTAGCCAGAGTTTGGAAGTTAAAATGGGGATGAAATAGTACGAGGTATGTTTCAAATGATTTGTCCAAAATGCCCCTGCTTCTGCTCAATATATCCGGGACTGCCACATCATTTTCAATTTCGCAGAGTCAGACTCAGAGAGTCAGTGTAGGGGCTTCATATTATATTTTGTTCTATTTATTGGATTATATACATTAACATATCTAATTTTAATATATAGATTTATATGTATAAAACTTATTGGACGGTCTATGTTTATCTGTGTGTAATGATAAATTGAGAATAATATTTATATATTCTGTTATGTTAGAAAACACATTAAATATTACTAGTACATTGTATTGTGCGTGAAATGGTTGTCATGAGCAACAAACGAAAAATACCAAGTTTTACAAGTATTATGAATGGTTCAAGTATAGAACTTACTTGGAAGAGATTGATATTTGGATTAATTATTATGGAATTGTTGTCAAAAATAAATAAATAAAATCATCTGTTGAGATTGTCTACTAGGGAGAATTACAGTGGCTCAATGATGCTGCCAATCTTGAATGTAATTCTGTTTTGATTAATTAATGATATTTTGCCTTTTGATTTAAAAAAATGAAATTACCAAAAAAGTTTAGATAAAAAATAAAATACCAAAAAAGTTTAGATAAAAAATAAAATACGAAAAATGTTCAATTGACCAACCTTGAAATACCAAAAGGCCAACAAAGACAATATATATAAGATAATTAACAATTAATTAGTTACAGAGTAATTTATTTTTATTCTTGAAAACTTAAACCATCAATTTTTTATTTTGAAAAAATAAAATCTTTGATAATTAACAATTGATCTAAAATTATTGAAAAATTAATTAGGTGGTCCATCATTTTTCTAATTGTATGAAATTTTATGATTGATCGGGACTATATGATCCTGAACTTCCTAATAATTTTTTAAAAACATGTATCAAAATATCCACTGCCTAATTTCAATGTTCTCTCTATGTCACTTTTTCTATGCAAAACTAAATTGTGTTGTTACAACTCATAACTTGTACATCTCTAAAGTAAGAATGATACATCTTTATTTATATACGTGGTATGCGATTCAATTTCAAGTTCAGAATAACATGGGGTGGACTGTAAAAAGCCTTTTATTTATTTATTTTTGGCGTATTAATGAATCAGTTTATGTTCAGATAAAATCTACCTATTTGTTACTTCAGTGAAAATGATTAACAAGGTCATATTACTCCACTAGTGCTTATTAGTGCCATTGTGACATTTCCCACCTATAACGTGTGCAACATGACCAACCTTTAACCCTTCAAATTTTTATTTCTTTTTTTTTGGAATTTTAAGCAAGTATTATAAATATAATGGTAATTACAATGTGGGCCTTTGCCAAACAGCCTCTAAGGGAGTACAAGCCCACTTTAGGACAAAACACTGGCCATGTAGTGAAACCTAACCTGAAGCAATAACTAAAAACCAAAATTAACGGCATTTAACTGCTGTTAATGGTGGTTATTAGCCTTTCAATTCAGTGAGGGCTCTAAGGCATTGATTCCAGCGATTAAGCTGGCAATAACTTTAGTCCGGCGGACAAGGAGGGGGTCTACAGTGAGAGGGGGAGATGTTCCATTATGAGAGAATTTTCCTGAATGTAATGCAGTCTTGAAGGAAGCCAAGGCTTGGAATTGCAGTGATGTTGGAGCAAATTCGAGCAAGGACGACCCTCTGAGATGATTTCTTCTTTTTGAAGATCCTTTAATTCCTTTCTTCCCAAGTGTGATACACCATGGCTGAGAAGCAGACTTTCCTATAAAGGTTTGGAACCGATTTTGCTTTCCATCTTACACTAATGTACTATATGAGCCCCTCCCAATTCGTGATTGTTGTGTAAAATTGGCATTTATCTTTTATGAATTGCCAAATTGGGGATGTAAAACAACATTTTAGGAAGATGTGTTCATGTAATTTTGGGTGAGAATGACAGAGGGAACATATATTAGTATGGTTCCCCGTTGATCTACTGTCAAGAGTTGGCAATCTGGATTACACTGCTAGCCATAAGTTTAGCTTCATTCTAGGGATTATTGGTAAGCACCACACCAAATTGTGCCATTGGACTAAGGGGTAGTTGACTACAAAGAAAGAAGCAGTGTGACTAAGGCTGAATATTCCTGTTGAGGATGCAGTCCATCTCTTCTTGTCTCTCCTAGATGAGACTGGGGGCTGTAGATGTTGCAGCTCATGTATAGTGGAAGTGATATAGAGGGGGAATGACCAAGAGGAATCCACAATGAAATTGTCCATAGTAGTAGATTGATTGAGACTAGCTTAAGAGAGGATTGAGGTGGGGAACCTAGTGTGTAGTGGTCCTCCTGGAGCCCAATAATCTAACCAAACTGTAATGTCTGAACCATTGCCAATGGAATGCTTTAAGAGAGTTTTACTGGATGTCTAAGTTACAGCAACTTCTTCTAGCTCCAAGAACAAGAGTGAGGGATATTGATCTCCCATAGATGATTTAATTAGATGAGTGTTGCACCATTTAATCCAAAGTCTGTAATTGTTGTCAATTTGCAAATCCCAAATGAACCTCATAATCCCAGCCTTGTTTGACAGTTCCAAGTTTGGAATCCCCAACCCCCCAGCTTCTTTTGATCTACAAACCTTGTCCCAAGACACTTTAGCTCCTGTTGATTTCATTTCAGGTCCTGACCAAAGGAATCATCCAAATATCTTGTTAAGCTCATTAATCACTGCTTTAGGTAGGATGAAAATGCTAGACTAATAAATTTGTGTTTAGACTAGGACAACCTTGATGAGTTGTAGCCTTCCAGCATAAGAAAGTGACCTAGAGGACCAATCTGATACTCTTTTGGTGATCTTCTCAATTAAAAGGTTGCAGTGAGAGGACTTGAGGTTAGTGGAAATCAGTGGTACCCCTGGGTACTTAACTGGGAGTGAGCCTACTTCAATTCCAAGTAGAGAAGTAATTGAGTGATGAGTGTGCTGGTCCACTCTTGAGAGAAAAATTGCGCTTTTGGAGGTGTTAATGTAAAGACCAGACATTGTGTTGAAGTAGTCCAATGCTGACTTGATCACTTACACTGAGGTGATATCTCTATGAAAAAAGAGGAGAAGGTCATATGCATATGATAGGTGTGTAATCTTCAGGTCTCCATATCTCCAGTGGTACTTGAAAGCCCTAACCCTACTCATAAAGTTGTTAATGATAGAGGATGGTGCATTCATCACAATTACAAAGAGAAATAGGGAAATAAAATCTCCCTATCTCAACCCTATATTGCCCTTGAAGTAGCCCTTGAATTCACCATTAATTGCAATGGTGAAAGAAGGTGAGGAAATGCAGGCTTGAATGAAAGAAACAAATTTACTTGGGAATTGGTGAAGTGTTAAGCAACTTAAGATGAAATCCCACTTGACAGACTCAAAGGCTTTCATAAGGTCAATCTTAATTGCACACTTGGCAGGCCCATTGTCTCTGTGGTAACCCCTTAATAATTCATGTGTTAGAAGGATTGGATCAGTGATCTTCCTTCCTTAAATGAAGGTTGATTGAGAGTTGTCAATGATGTGAGGTAGAGTGGGCTGAAGCTTGGTTGCAAGCAACTTTGTTATGCATTTATACACTATATTATAGCAAGAAATTGGTCTGTAATCATGTATGGATGATGGGTTTTGGCATTTAGGGACAAGTAAGATGTAAATGTTATTTGCTTCTGAGAGTAGTTTTCCATTTGTGAAGAACTCAATGATGGCTCTAGTAACTGATCTACCTATAGTTCCCCAAAGTTTTTGAAAGAAGGCTGCATTGTGGCCATCATGACCCGGACCTTTGTCCTTGTTAAGCTTGAACATGCAGGCTTAAATGTCCAAAGGGGATGGAATTTCACCTAAAAGGGGCTTTAGATGTGTTGGAAACTATGCAGTGATAAATGGTTGCAATTCAAAAATGGTATGAATTGATGGAAGGGATGTACCTAACAACCTTTGGAAGTGTCCCACAATTTCTATTATAATTTCATCTTTATTGTCAATGATTTGGCTAGAATCAGTTGTGATGGATATGATCTTCTTCTTGTTGTTTCTAGGGGATAATGACTTGTGGAAGTATATTGAATTGCTATCTCCAAGTTTCAGCCAAGTCATTCTAGACTCTTGTCTTAGCATGTCCTTTTGGCGATTCACAAGTTTTAAAAACTCTAAGATAAGGGACCTCTCCATTTCTCTGAGTGAGACATCACTAGGGGAGCAATCAAGGTCAAGTTGGCATGCATCTAGTTTAATTTTGACTGCATTAAACTCTGCATCCAATCCATAGAGGTCTTTCCTGCACATTTCTTTGAGGATTGGCTTGAGGAGCTTTAGCTTTTGGACCACCTGAAACGTTGCAGTCCCTTTAATAAATGTTCTCCAGACTGAGGATGAGAAATTGTGGTATGTGGCCCAAGCATTGAAGAATCTGAATGGGATGCATCTCCTTAGGATCTGAAAATCCATGTTAACCAAGATTAGAATGTGGTCCGAAATACCAGATGTGAGGAATGTGCATTCAGAAAATGGGAAAGTTAAGGTCCATATTTGGTCGACAAGGGCTCTGTCCAATTTCTTGGCAATACAAGCAGTACCCAAACTTCTGTTGCACCAGGAGTACAAATTACCATTATATTTAAGGTCCTTTAGTTCAGCATGTTGCAGACACTCCTTGAAATCCATTATTGTAGGGCTCCACTTCATTGAACCTCCATGTGACTCTCCAACATTAGGGATGACATTGAGGTCCCCCATTAATAACCAATGGTAGAAACTACAGAGGCATGCATGGTGGATTAAATTCTCCCAAAGAAATTGCCTTTCAATTGCACAGTTAGAGGCATAAATGAAGTTGTGAAAAAGGTAATGTTCTCCTATGACTGTTATTTTACAGTGAATTGTCTGCCTATTGGCATCAATGACAGAAAGCTCAATTT